AATTGTAAAGGTTTTTAATAGCTAATTAGTTATGTCTTCGTATTAAAACTTAGAAATTGAACTGTTGTCAATTCCATTATTTAGAGAGAGAGAAAAAAAAGGGTGATACTGTATACTTACTTCGGTTCATGTCAGTCTTATCACTCAATCACTGCCCCCTGGTGATTGTTGTGATGAACACAAAAAGTTTACATTTCCAGACTTCTGTGACATAAGGATTACTAGTTCATCTTGTTGGTCAATTCGCCTAAACCCAAAGATAGTGTAAGCATTGTAGACAATTACTTTCACAAGTTTGAACTAGTCGTTCATCGATCTCGTGTTGCTGTGCGTAGATAATAAATCTGTGCCTTCAACATCCTTATTGGTTATTTCTAACTAGAAATTTGTTTATATAATTCTAAACAACTTGCATCTCTGAAAATCATAATTAACTCTATCTGTGGTTGCCGTTGTTGTTGTTGTCTTGATACTGAATACTCAAGCGTTTCTATTCTGCAAGATTACCAAGGCATGAACAATAGCATAATTAAGTTTCACTTTAGAAATGCAATCTTGATTTTAATGGAATTTCAAAGTATGAGTCATATTTTCCTTTGTAGTTACATATACTGTTTCAGAATGAATGAGACTTGGATTAAACACCTCAGTTGCTACGTAATCAATTTAACTTGCAAAGATGCATCTTCTGAACGTTGTACGTGTTGTGCCACAAATAGTAATAGTTTTCACCCTAAATGAAGGTGCAATGCGACATTTTCTAACCTCATTAGTGTACAATTTGAAGAAAGAGTAATAGTTTTAAGGCTGTGTGTATGTGTTGTTACTGTTTTATCTCAAAACGACACAATGGGCTATCTGTATTTTATCTGCAGCAGGGAATCGAAGCCTGGATTTTAGCGTTGGAAGTTCGTAAACTTACCACAGATTCACCGAGAAACGTGTGTAGGTCTGAATCTATCCTCTTTCTCCTATTTTTTTTTGTTTTTTGTTTTTTGTGGGAGAATGAGTAATAAAAGTTTGTAGCAAGTGTATTCTTAGATTTGCAAGTAACGTCTCGGATAGCATTCACAGAGATTCATTCCACTTCAGTTTCTTGATCGTCAGTTTTTATAACGTATATAATGTTTTTGTTGTTGTTTTTGTGTATGTGGTGTTTGTGTGTGTTTGTCCACCAACATCCTGACAATAATTTTGTTTGTTTGCTTATGTGAGTAATGTGTGAAAAAGATCAAACCATGAGTACATTCAATTAAGAAAGCAACACAGGACTTTATAAACTTGCTTTTATTATTATTATCATCATAAACTGTGACTGGAGTTAAGGAACCTGTGTTCCACATTAATCTAATTCGAACCAAAAAAAACAAGTTGTATAAGGTTTTTCTATATGAAGCCGCAAGTAGGTTTGCATGACATACAAAGAAGAAAGGTGAAAATCGTAAAAATGCAACAACAGTTTAGAAATGAATAAATTAAAAAAAGTAAATGCAACATTCTGTCATCGGAGGTGTATAGCACAGCAACTTGGAAATTTCAGATTATTTAGGATATTGTTACTTCTCTGATCGTTAGTTAATTTTCCGTAAACATTCTTTCCGAAGAAACTTTAGCGATACAAGCCCTTTCTTAAATAAAACCGGTTTATTCTTTCTGAATACAATTTTGCAATACACTTAATTTCCACAGTCACGCTATAGCAAACGCTATAATTCACAACGAACGACTCACGTGCTCGACTCAATTGTCAGTCTCTATCTCAGTTTGCAGTTCAATTACATTGTTGCCGTCACTTCTTGACGGTCTTATATACAAGAATACCGCATATCTAGTAAACACTCGAGGCTTCAAGAAGGGACATGAATTTTCTAGAATCTCATGACGTGTTACTAGCGTCGCGTGACTTCCGCTGTCGTAACAATATCAACTAATTGAAAAGCAGTACTTGTTATGTTGTGAACGCCTTTTCCAAGCTGGTAAAGCAAGATTATAATTAATTATACTTTTCATAACACATTAGTATTAGGCTTAACATATTTGAATTTTTTTATATAAACCCTTAGGAATTATTATTGTTATTATACACTTCTCTAATAGGCATAATACTAATGTTTTTTGTTGTTGTTTTTTTAACACCTAGACCACCCAAAACAGCGCATATGACATTGTTGTTTTCATATTTACAGTTTGGTTCTGTTGTAAAATAATGATAAATCAAATAATTTTTTGCTTTTTTGTTTGAAATGTCTGATTGAAACCCAAGGACTCGTCTAAACACGTCACAGTACATTACTTTTCTTCGGTGTGTGTATGATTGTTGAATATCCTAGATACTATTTATCTCCCACCTAGCAGTCGGCTAATATATGATAGCCAAGTATGCTGATTTGTACATTTTATTTCTGATTTGCTAAAAATTCACCGCTGTAAAAGAAACTCTAGTCTGTATATCCAAAATAAAGGGCGACTAGTATCGATATTTCTTGTGTAGCATCATAAGCAAACAGAATATATCTCGGACTTTAAATATGTGTCATGTATAAATGTAAATACCATTTTTATTAGTTGTATTGTAATTCTTTTGCTCTCCTTTATAACCATTTTCTTGTGAAATAATATACTGGGGTGGATCGAATATGCCTTTAAATTTTGTACATATTTTCCCACATTAATTTCATGAAGGGTGTATATTTTGGCATATACAGTGATAGTAGTATTTGTGTTTTAGAAAATATAACCAACAGTGACATGCCAATAATTAGAAAAGCGAGAAATCAAACTGCTTGGTATGAGTGCAGTAGTACGAGTACGAAACGTCTCAAAGCCAATTATGTAGCGTGAAAAATGGTAAACAAAAAATAAATAATAATATCTCTAAGCCCAGGTGAAGCAACATCTAAGTTGTTATCACGATATCATCGGCCTCAGCATACGTAAAACGAACCTGGATTGTTTTTAACCATTTCTTCTGCATAAATTAATAAACTAGGATGTGAGGTAGTGTGCTGAGAAAAATAAACTTCAAAGGTAGACCAAGACTTATTACAAAAGTCGGATGTAATTCACGGGCGAATACAACATGTATCCGGCACGTAATCTCAACATGACCAATTTTGACACCAGAAAAATAGAAAACTGTATATCGCTGCTTTGTATCTGCAAGAAGTTATCTTGGTTACTGTAAGTATAACCACACAGGAGCCCAAAATATCCAGTTTTTTTAACCTTTAACCCCATAAAAATCCTTAAAAATTCCTAAATAAAAAAAAATGAAAAAGGAATGGTGATCAATTGAAAAGTATTTGGAAGAAGAAGAAACAATAGAAAAACAGTATGTGATATTACACATATGTACAAGATCTGGTGACTATAAATAGATATGGAGAGGGAATATATATATATAAGATAACATAATATTTTGGGACAACATGGGACCTATTGGTCCATCTCAGCTGTTCCATCCTACAAAACTAAATTAAAATTATTAAACAAAAAAAAATAATAAAATTTTAAGCCCATCCTTTTTCATTAATATACTTATCAATCTTTTTCTTAAACTCACTTAAATTTACTGCCTCTACAACATCTGAAGGCAATTCATTCCAAAGG